TCAATAGGCATTTGCCGCAGTTATGGCTTGTTCTAAGACATGAGGATGCAAGGAGTACCACACCTTTATTTTTCTAGATCAACTTAAATCTGACTTAGTCTTATCCCATATGGTTGGCAAGAGGCTTACATTAGTAATTTTCAGGAACTTCTCATGGCTGTTTCCCCAGAACTCCAGAGCTTACAGAGTCCAAGAAAATTCTGGAAGGTTCCATGTTTCTCAGCTCCTTGAGTCTCTGCTTTAACCATCACTCCTCCTATTTCGAGATTCCACAATTGAGCACTGACCCTTCTGTAGGTCAGGTACTATTGTCCTGGGTGAGCTGTGAGATGCTTATCACAGTCTGTGCCCCAAGGTCCTTCCACATCCAGGAATCATGTTGAAAGGAGGGGCCCTGTCTATACTTCTCTACGACACTCCAAACCCCTGCTCCTTCACCACTATCAGGGAAACAGCTCTAAGACTCCAAAATATCACCTTTCTTCTTATCTTTTTCGGATAATCCGACATGAAATCCCTCAACAGGCATGACAGGGACTGAAAACGAAAATAAATGCCTAAAAAGATGAGGCGAAGAATGTCAAGGAATAAAGCAAATGGGCTTTAAGAGACAATATGGCCTAACCGATGTGGCTCAGTGGTTGAGCGTTGACCTATGAACCATGAGGTCACGATTTGATTCCTGGTCAAGGCACATGCCCGGGTTGTGGGCTCATTCCCAGCGTGGGATGTGCAGGAGGCAGCGGATCCATGATTCTCTCTCATCATTGATGTTTCTGTTTCTCTTTCCCTCTCCCTTCCTCTCTGAAATCAATTGAGAAAAAGAAAAAAAAGACAACAGGAAATAGTAGCAACTGAGGTATACTGGAGAACATAGGCCTTGTTTAAAAAGGAGCAGCAATTAAGGCATTAACCAATTGTTGCTGAATTTCCAGATCTTCCGATTTTTCAAGAGAAGCCAGAAACCTGGATTTTTATATGATAGCTCTTTTTTCTTTATCTAAAAATGTACATTATCAAGGTATATTTTGTGAATCGTGTAATTCACAGTATAAAATTCAATAATTTCTAAAGTAAGTTTACCAAGTTGTGCAACCATTACCATAGTTTTAGAATATTTTCCTCATCCCAATAAGATACCTCATGTATATTTACTGTTAATCCCTCTGCTGTCCCTCCTCTCCAGGCAACTACTATCCCCCTTTCTGTCTCTTTCGCATAGACTTTATGGACATTTCATATAAAAGGAATAATATAATATGTGGTCTTTTGTGAGTGGCTTCTTTGGCTGAGCAGTATGTTTTCAAGATTCATCCATATTGTTGCATGTATCTGCAGTTCATTCCTTTTTATTGCTGAACTAGAGACCTGGTGCACAAAATTTGCCCACTGGGGGAGGGAGGGGGAGGTCCCTCAGCCCGGATTGCAAGAGGGTGCAGGCCAGGCCAAGGGTCCGCTCTGGTGCACGATTGGCGCTGGGGAGGGGCCGCGGGAGGGCTCCAGGGTGTGTCTGGCCCATCTCATTCAGTCATGATCAGCCAGACCCCAGCAGCAAGCTAACCTACCAGTTGGATGTCTGCCCCGCCCCCTGGTGGTCAGTGCACATCATAGAGATCAGTTGAGCAGCCTTAGGATATCATTAGCATATTGCATTTTGATTGGTTGAATGGCCGACCAGCCGACTGGACACTTAGCATATTAGGCTTTTATTTTATAGGATAGTATTCCATTGTGTGGATGTAGCACATTTTATCTATCCGTTCACCAGCTGATGGCCATTCTTTTTGCTATTATGAATAATGCTGCTATGAATATTTGCGTGCAAGTCTTTGAGTCCATATATGTTTTCCTTTTTGTTTGATTTTTGGTAGATACCTCTGGGTAGAATTGTGGGTTATATGGTAAATTTGTTTAACTTCTTAAGAAACTGGCAAACTATTTTCCAGAGAGGCTGTACCATTTTATTTTTTAAAATATATTTTTATTTATTTCAGAGAGGAAGGGCATGTGCCCTTGACCTCAACCAAACCCGGGACCCTTCAGTCCGTAGGCCGACGCTCTATCCACTGAGCCAAATGGGCTATGGCTGTACCATTTTAAATTCCCACCAGAAATGACTGAGGGTTTCCGTTTCTCTGCATTTTTGCCAACATTTGCTACAGTCTGTCTTTTTTTTAAAGTATATTTTATTGATTTTAGAGAGGAAGGGAGAGGGAAAGAGAGAAACATCAATGATAAGACAGAATCATTGATTGGCTGCCTCCTGCACGCCCCCTACTGGGGATTAAGCTCGAAACCAGGCATGTGCCCTTGGCCGGAATCGAACCTGGGACCCTTCAGTCCACAGGCCAACACTCTATCCATTGAGCTAAACCAGCTAGGGCTATAGTCTGTCTTTTTAATTATAATCATTCTACTGGGTGTGAAGTGGTGTCTCATGGTTTTGATTTGTGTTTCCCTAATGGCTAATGATTTTGGATAGATCTTGATTCTTAAATGTTGGAATTCATTCAAATTTTTAAAATGCTCCATATCGGCCCTGTACAGATGGAACAAACCTGTTTAGAACAAAACCTGTTCATGGGCAGGACCTGCCCTAAGGGAATGAGTTCGAACTTCTGACCTAAATTCTGAAAAACAATGGTCTGTGAACTGTTCCTTTTAGGGGTAAAAGCAGCCGAGACTGCCAGCAAAAATTACTATAGAGAGAGGGAAAAATTTTCTCACTCTTTTGTAATGAACTCGTGGACTAGAAAAAAATGACAATTTTTAATCTACATATTCCTCCAGTGCCACTTTTTCCTCCAGTAAATCATCCTGTTACATAGGCATTGAATTAGACCTTTATGTATATATTTGTGTCCCTTTTTCAGAGATAAGGTTAAGAAATTTGTCAAAGGTTAAAGACCAAGAAAGTGGCAGGGATTGATTAAAGCCAGGCCTATCTAGTTTTAAATTCTGTGTTTTCCACATCAAAATGGCAACAGATTCTGGGATGGAGCTACATGGGGTGAGACTGGAGTCAGAGGAGTCTGGCTGGACGGATGACAGAGGTGGAGGGAGACATGATGTAGGAGCAAGGAGCCAAAGAAGTTTCAAGACAAAGGAAGTTTGGAATAGAGGGTTTGGGGGTGGTAGGATGTAGTGGAAGTGGGAAGAAATAAGGTTTTGGACTAGTTGCTTTTGCAGTTTCCCTCCCATTTGGGAGAGATGTCTAGTAGAGAGTTGGATGTAGGGCCGAAGTGCTGGAGAGATGCCAGGGCTGGTGATATATTTGGGGACATTCTCTTTATTATTGCCTTCTCATCAAGCCTACCATCTTTGTGATGTTTAATTCTGGTGAGCTTCCTGCCCTCCTCTTCTGATGGTCCACTGAGTTTGTTTTAAAAATTATGAAAACCCACAGACGTGGTGGCTAATGGGGCTGTATTTGTACATAGATGCTCTAAGCACAGGCCACTGCGTTCAGAAATGACTTTGGTGGCTCACAAAGCCGAGCTTCACGCCCTCGAGACAGAGTCTTTGGTCTTTTCTAAGAAATGTTTTTAAATTCACTTAAAAACACCATTCACATATTTTGTACCGTTCACTCATACTCCATTGCAGGCTGCACTAAGGACAGATTTGATGGAGCCAAGTCACAAGACACCTGGACAAGGGGCAGCTCACCCAGCAGGCAGGCGGGGGAGGGGGTCCAGATGCGCTCGGACAAAGGACAATACAGGACCTGATTCGGATTTCCCCAGGAAGGACTCTGCACTTGGCTGCCCTGGAACCTTCTCTGAATTCCACCAACCCGCCCTTATCTTTTCCTGCCTTGTTTTGTTTATTGCTTTATTCTTTTTTTTTTTTTAACTAGACTGGAAGTTTCCTAGGCTTAGCCACTTAACTTTTTTTTTTTTTTTTACTAGACTGGAAGTTTCCTAGGCTTAGCCACTTATATCACATCACCCGTATTAAAATGCACCCATATCCAACGTGAAGTAACTATCTCTTGCTGTAATTTTTTTGTGAAGAACCTTGATAATTTTGTTCTTGTTAAAGTAAGTCATTCACTTTATTTTTGTGACTTAAGCTTTATTCTGTTTGTATGTAAGCATTTGAGTCGTGTTGAAGTGGACTAAATTCTGCAGACATTCCATGAAATGGCTATTAACTTTGATTTTTTCCAGTTTCCTCATTTTGGAGCCATTTTCTTTTTTCAGGTCTCAGGCCTCAGGTTTCTAAGGCTCTTGGAAAGCTGATCAGCCCGAAGGTGATGTAACAGCCCAGCAGCACCTCCTCACAGCCCCCTCTCACGTAGGAAATTCCATTTGGTGAAAGACGAACGAATGAATGAGGTGAACGAAGTCCTTTCCCCAAGTGTCCTCTCCAAGGCCGGCTGGTTTCACCTTCAGGAACCCAAGCCCAGCCTGGAGGCAGGGTAGGAAGGCCCCTCCCCTCGCACACACCAGAGCTGCGGCAGCGGAGGAAGCCGTCCCGCGTCGGCGCTCAGCAGACCGGGGTAGGTTGAACCCGGGATCCCACGGCGGCCACAGTGGCCCGATCGCAGAACGCAATCGACCCCCGGCCCCCCGCCCCCAGCAGAGCCAGTGCG